TACATATAGTATGTACTTTACACACCCAAATAAATAAATAAATAAAAGATTATAAAGTAGCATTTTGGTTGAAACAATCCACCAACATTCCAGATTACACAGTGCATGATTTCATTCATCATCTTAAAAGGCCTCAAAGTTTGGCGTCATGGGTAATTTTTTGGTGGATGTACATGGTTAGGCTCTTTTATAGATGCCAACCTAATTGAAATTTATTCTTGAACTCTGATGCAATTCAGTCAGGCTTTATTATATACTTTTTTTATTATCAATAAAATTTTATTTTGCTGATAAAAAAAAAATGAATTACAAATCCAATTGTGTATATAGATTTTTGATGTTGTTTCATACTAACAAATGAAAGAGAAAAATAGTTGAGTGAAAAGAAAAGTTATTGTATACGTCCCTGCTACCTTTTCAAAACTATAGATTCGTAATAAATTACAATAGTTAATAATTTTTTTTACCATAAAATTTCGTAACATTTTAACATTTATAATGTAACCATATTGGTTTGTTATGTAATCACAGTGGCTTGCAACTAAGATTTTTTCAGTGGTATATTCTGATTGGGGTTACATAATATTTGTTTTACAAAAATAAATCATCAATATAATTTTAAAAACATATAGTCCATTTTTTTGGAAATAAATAGGGTAAATTATAAATACATTGTTTGAGACTTACTTAAAATACATTTTGTCCCTTCTGATTTTAAAAATTACATCTCGCCCCTTCAAGTTTCTAATTGTATAAAAATTGATCCCTTTTATTAATAAACCATCAAGTAATTAACAACTTTTAACGATACCAGAAATTTATTTCAATTAATAATTCATATAATTTTATTATTATATAAGAAAGTAGTTATGAATTTTATTTTTTCTTTTAATTCTGCTAAATAAAAATTATGATAATAGGGTATTTGTAATTTCTAGAATTACGGGAGATAATCTATATTTTAAGTAAATCTCAGATGTTGTATTTGTAATTACTGAAATAAATATGATGAAAATAATAGGAAAAATTAAAATTTGGCCTATTTGACCAAAAATATTTACAAAACTATGGGAGTGCAACTAATTTTTCGATGTAAAACAACACAATACACCCCCTAAAAGATTCTCACCTTTAAGTAATTTTTCCTCCACCACACTGAATAATAACTTTCGTAAAATAATATGACTATAATTATTGAATTAATAAATTAATTAATTTTTTAATAAAAATCTAAACACGTAGACTTATAAGATGAACTGATACACGCTCTAGCCCACACAACAACCAGGCCCTTTAGATAAATGATAGTACACGTAAGATAGTGTTGTTAGTGTCCTGCAAGGTGACAAAATAAGAATTATTTTGAAAATAAACAATTCTGGAATCAAATGTATATAAAAAGAAAGAAGGGTTAATTATATTTTTGGTTTTCAAGATATGAATCTTGTTATCACAACTCGAACTTGCCCTTAAAATTTTGGTTCATAACCGGTCAGTAATCATGAGATTACCTACAATCTCAGACAGAAATCAAATCATATTTAATCATGTGGAGCCAGAAGCAAAAGCAAGATTATAAAATTTTGTTCAATGAACTGTGTGTAAATGACATGAACAAAAACTTCATATATATATATATACATATATATTAATAACTCACACTCATACATTCATAAAAAGGTTCCATATGTTCAAGATCTTTCAAACATCACTGTCATATAAACTAGAACTTATATACATATACAAGGTCAAACATGACCAATAAAAGAAAACAAAAAATTAAAAAACAACAGAAACAAAAGCCTCGCTCGTGAGGTGCACAAAAATTTAATATCCTTCACAAGTTCACTAAGGCTGGAGCTGGACATCTCGCTGCTCACCCACATATATATATATATATATATAGAGTGAGCTAACGGCCAGTAAATAACATCAGAGTAAAGGGGTTATACGAATAAGTTCTAATATTAAACAAAATCATTCTCGTAATAGTTTCGTATCATAACTGAACAACCTTGGGTTCAATATATGACAGAACGACCTCAGGTCCATCATATGACAGAACGACCTCAGGTCCAATAGATAGCGAAACGACTGGACATCTCGCTGCTCACCTACATATATATATATATATATAGAGTGAGCTAACGGCCAGTGAATAACATCAGAGTAAAGGGGTTATACGAATAAGTTCTAATATTAAACAAAATCATTCTCGTAATAGTTTCGTATCATAATTGAACAACCTTGGTTTCAATATATGACAGAACGACCTCAGGTCCATCATATGACAGAACGACCTCAGGTCCAATAGATAGCGAAACGACCTTGGGTCCATTCATTTACAGCTGTATAATAGTAGATGATCATACTTATCAGATATATAGAACAACTTTAGATCCATCTTGTTAAATATACAGAACGACCTTGGGTCTAATTCAGATATATAGAACGACCTTGGGTCTAGGGCTGTGCAAAATACTGCCCAATCCACTAAAACCACACCGATCCGCATTAATCTACACTACTCTAACTGCTAACCGTAGTTTAAACTTTAAAATTTATAATCTACCAACCGAACCGCTCCGCTCTGCTATAGTTAATACATATATATTTTTTAACATCTAATGAAATATCAATGTAAAAATGAGTGTGAGAGAGAGTTAAGATATTAAATTTATTACGAATTAGTAGTTATATATATGAAACATATTATGTAAAATTACTTTGTGTTATATATCTAAAAAATATTATACAAATTAATGTTATATATTATGCAAATGTATGATAAGTAGTTAGAATATTCTTCAATCTGCCAATCCATTAAAAACCACTCAAACCGTAATTTGTCAATCCACTAATTCGCCAACCCGCCATTTGGTTTATAATTTTAGTCTCAAACCGCTTGAACCGTACCGCACACACCTCTACTTGGGTCTATCATACACATTCGTGTCATATCAATAACATTTACAGACATCATATTGATCAGATAGATAGAAACTCATTCATACTTGCAAAAGTACAGTATCAAAAAAGCATATCATGTTAGGACATTCATAAAACAGAGTAAGTAAGAAAATATCTTTACTAAAATATTACTCACAGTGATTCGGTTGTTGACTCGTCTTTGTGGATGATCTTACACAATCATAAACACATACACGTTGAATCACATTGCTTAACCGAATTGTTCTTTAACCTATTCAATTCTCTTAGGCTTCATTCTAACTTTTGAATTTATTTAGGGCTTAATCTATGCCTAAGAATGCCCAGAAAGAAATGAGAATGCATATTTGATCAGAATATGTCTTTTTAAAATATATTAAAACAGAGCACTTCGCTCGAGCGCAACATTGATCACTCAAGTGAACCATTTGGTCTGCAAAAGTACTGGATGGTCCGAATCTACGCTCGATGTTTGCTCGAGCCAAGATGCAAAATAAAAAGGTGGTCACTCAAGCGATCACTTGGTCGCTCGAGCCAATTGCAAACGCCTGCAAAAATACTGGATGCATGCAATGTGCGCTCAAGCGACAGATTATTCACTCAAGCGGTGCGACAGAATTTTGGAAATTTCAGAATAGAGTTGAGCTTCAAACACATGTTCAAAGTATGGATTCTTGCATGATACAACCCAAAACCATGAAAACTCTTCCAAAACATGACTACATATTCATGATTTTGCAAAATTGAAGCTTAAAACTTTATAATTGAAACCAAAACTCTCATGCAAGCATCAATTATTTCCAAACTCTCGAGCCAACTACAAATGCCTGCAAAAATACTGGATGCATGCAATGTGCGCTTGAGCGATAGATTATTCACTCAAGCGGTGAGACAGAATTCTGGAAATTTCAGAACAAAGTTGAGCTTCAAACATGTTCAAAGTATGGATTTTTGTATGATGCAACCCAAATTCATGAAAACTCTTCCAAAGCATGAGTGCATGGCCAATTACTAAATCAAACTTCATGATTTTGCAAAATTGAAGTTTAAAACTTCATAATTGAAACCAAAACTCTCATGCAAGCATTAATTATTTCCAAACTCTTTTCCAAAGCTTAAAAAACGTGCAATTTACCTTCAAAACTTTGTGAACCATGCAAACATGTACAATTCATCTTCTAAACTCGACATGGTAGTCAAAATCATGCCCATAAATGATGAAATTCAATAAAACTATGCATGAATGTATGAATTAACCTCTAATTCTTCATTTTAAGTTCAATTGTTACCTTTAAACTCATAATCTTCTTGAATTCACACATTTGATGGTTTAAACTCATGAATTAAGGTATAAACACTTACCTAAAGTCTTTAATTGAGCTCAATTTAGCAAATTCTTGAGTTCTCCTACACTATTCACCAATCTCTTTGTCAAATTCTCCAAGGTTGAGCCCTATCTTTCTCTATAAGATGATATCTGTCTCTCTCTCTCTCTAGATCTCCAACAGATTTTGAGTGCAAGAATAATGAGCTTAATCTAATCTTAACATATATATATATATATATATAGGTTGGATTAGCTTAATTAACTAATCAAGGTTTATGCTAGGTAATTAAGGCTTAGGTTATCTAATCCTAAGCTTAATTTAATCTAATTGATTTAGACTGAATCAAATTTTAATCAAACCTCTCATTAGACTCTAAAAATTATGTTGATCACAATAATTAACCAATTTCGATTTCTAACGCCATTAAGGCCTTCAATTTTCAGATCAAAGCAGAAATCATAGCATGTTTTCCTACGATCAACAAATATGCAGTAAAAAATCACATTAATCACATAATTAACATTTAATTCACGCTTAGCACATAAGCTCATGTACAATTAAGGAATTAAAAGCATAATATAGAACAGGGTTATCACAGTCTTCCCATTTTTAAGAAGTTTGGTCCTCCAAATTTACGTTACCTTAATTCAGAAATAACTCGGGATACCTTTGCCTCATTTTATCTTCTTTTTACCAAGTTGCTTCTATTCCACAGTGTTCTTTCTATTCTAGTTTTACCATAGGAATCGATTTGTTCTTCAACTGCTTGACTTGTCGATCGATAATTTGAATTGGCTTTTCTTCATAGATCATATCATCATCGAGAGCTATTTGGTGATGGTCAATAACATGGAATGGATTTCGGAGATAGCCCCTCAACATCGACACATGAAACACATTATGCATTTGTTCCAATCCTGGTGGTAGAGCAACTCGATACACAACCAAACCAAGCTTTTTCAGAATCTGAAATGACCTAATGTATCGAGGTGATAATTTGCCTTTCTTGCCAAACGTCAATTGACTCTTCATCAGAATTACCCTTACATACTCAAGAGCTCTCCTTATATGCATAGCTCTTTTGTCAGCTTTGTGCTGTTTTGAGCCTTTGCTGAATGACTTTAATCTTTTCAGTGATTGTTTCCACAATCTCAGGTCCAAGCAAGACCATATCCCCAACTTCATTCTAACATATCGGAGATCTACATTTCCTTTCGTACAAGGCTTCATATGGTGTCATGCCAATGCTGGAATGAAAACAATTAATGTATGCAAATTTTGCCAGTGAAAAATAAGTTTCCTAACTCCCCTGAAAGTCCAGCACACACATTCGAAGCATATCCTTTAAAGTCTGAATAATTATTTTTGATTGCCCATGGAATTCGGTACTAAACCTCAATTTAATTCCCATTGCTCTTTGAAGACTTTTCTAGAATCTAGACACAAATTTTGGATCACTATTCGAAACAATGGATACCGGTACTCTATGTAAACGAATAATTTCATCAATGTAAATTGTGGCCAATCTATAAGCATCATAGCTAGTTCTTACAGCTAGAAAATGTATAGATTTAGTCAACTTATCTACAATAACCCAAATAGAGTTCATACCTCTTGGTGTCTGAGGTAAACCACCAACAAAGTCCATGGTTATGTGCTCCCATTTCTATTTCGGAATAGAGAGATGTTAAAGTAATCCTGCCAGCTTTTGATGTTCGATTCTAACTTGCTGATATTCAAGGCACTTAGATATATATTCTGCAATTTTATTCTTCATGTTAGGCCGCCAATAGCTTTGCTTCAAATCTCGATGCATTGCAAATTTGGATATGTGAGTTTCTTCTTTAAATCAGAAATGTTCGGAATACATCGTTGAAATCTCAACTCTTCATTTTCAACACTAAACCCTGGTTTCGGATTCGATTCAAATTCATCAATCACTTTCTTGAGGAATTCATCATCCCTTTGCTTTTGTTTAATCTCATCAATGATCGCCAGTTTAGTTGAAATAGCAGCTATCATCCCACCTTGTTCTTGTAACACCACTTCAATCTCGGCTCTTTCTAAGCCTTGCAATATCTCTTTCTGTTCATTCAGTAAACATGCTAAGTTCCCTATTGACTTTTTACTCAAAGTGCCGACTACGATGTTGGCTTTACCCGAATCATACTGAATCTAAAGATCATAATCTTTAATCAGCTCGAGCCATCTTCTCTGTTACATATTTAGCTTATTTTAAGTGAAAAAGTACTTTAGACTCTTGTGATCAGTATAGACTTCACACTTCGCTCCATACAGATAATGACGCCAATTTTCGAGTTCACTATTCCTCCTCTCGCGTGAGACACATTTGGACTTTGAGTTCACCTTTTCCCTCTATTATTTGTGTTGTGGCACATTTGTATGCGATACACTCCATTTTATTGTTTGTGTTGTGGCACATTTATATGTGATGCACTTCTTATTATGTTTCATATCATTTGCACGAGGCTTGCCTTTTATGTTGCCATCTTATCATCATTGCATTGCATTGCATTGCATAATCATGAATTTTTGAAAAAAAAAATTTCGCTACGTGAAGCGTGTAAGTCCAACTTTCAAATTGTATTTCGAGTACGTCATTTGATTCTGCCCCTGAACTACACTAGTTTGATTCCTTGCAAAGGCATACGTAGGCAACCTTCGGGTTTAACCAACTGCATTTGCATTTTGTTTGTTTGCCCAAGTCTTACGGCTTTGTTAAAAGGGTCATTTTCGAGCTTTGACATTCGCTCATGTCATGAAATGACTTCGAGTTTTATTAAAGTGGGGCAACTGTAGACACTCCATTTTGACCGGCCCTAAGACTTGAGCGCTTTTTTTTTTATCACACAATGATGAAAATCAGAATGTGTTTCTCACAGAATTCTCAATAAGAGAGATGGAATTTGAGTTTTGTTCCTAACTCTAAGCCTATTTTGGTCAAGTGTTTAAGCCCCGTTGGACATCTAGAGCGAGGTTGGATTGAACTAGAGAGAACGAAGCCTAACTGGATCAAAATGATCGACCGTCCACAGATAGATTGCCTAGTTTTATGTTGGTTCGGGTGGGGCATTTCCCAAACCCATTTTTCTGAACCATTCATGCATTGAATGCATGTATACTCACCCTCTATTGCCTAGTGCTTGATCCATTGAAGCTAATGTTCCACTTTTGCCTTTCATTAGTGCTTCATTTGTCTCATTATCTTCATTAATGCTCTATTCTTGTCTTCCACCATTTCTCCACTTGCGTTGCCTATATGTATACATCAGATCATTGAGAGGAGGAGGAAGATAGATTGAAAAGAGAAGGCTAGAGATAGAGAAGAAAAGAGTTTAAGCTTTGAATTCAAGAGTCAGCCAAAATTAAGTGTTAATTATGAACTTCCATTTTCTCAAGCTATACACCATATCTCATCTCTTATTAGAAAAGTCATCCAAGTCATGTTATTATAGTTAAATTCTAGAGCTTTGATCAAAGAGATAGTAGTCTTTGCCAAGTTGAAGAACCGAGCACTCATTTTCTACACTTGCCTGAAACCACCATTCTAGTCAAATTCCAAGTTTTCGAATTGAGGATTAAGAACATAATTCACAACCTTGAGGGTGGTCAAAAGGGAGTTTGGAAATCAAGAAGTTCATTATTTCTTTGGAAGGTGAATTTTTAATTTCTTTTATTTTCTTGTATTTTCTATCTTAAATTTGTTTTCTTACTTTAATTTTATATTAGTTTTGTTGTAACAATTTCGTATTAATTTTGTTATAATCTAATCGAAAGTGGTTAATTAAGCCACCTACATATTCCTTGTTTGTTCCTTTTCTCAGTTTTGCAACAAGATAGGTTTTGTTAGGCCTAGTTGGTCGGCTGGCCTATACGGTTGGCTGATTAACTTCTTTTAGACGGAACAGAGTAGTCTTCCGGGGTTGAGCATACTAGTTTCTGGTAATTTTCAAGACATATGAAGCTTCTATTTTATTTTCATTTGAGTGTTTTGTGAGGTTTTTTATTTTATTTTGTAGTAATATTCTCTCTCTTTCTCTCTCTCTCTTTCTCTCACACACACATACACACACACACACACATACACGCACGCACACATTTGATTTGTAATTATTGCTTCAAGTGTTGTAATAATTCCCGTCCTACTTCTCTTTATCCCATTATTTTACTTGCTTTTCTTTATGAATATGCATCATATTGTTTTTCATTATATCTATGCTTTGCATCCACGTTTCATGCATCTTAATTCGGCTAAGTTTGCATTTGTGGATTTAATCAATTCTTATGTGATTATGTGCACTATCTCACGTTCTTGAGATGATTCACATGTTATATATTAGAAGTCGAATCTTTAGTTGTATCTCATGAGTGAATTGCATTAGGATTTTGTATATAAGATCATACATATTTCGCTAACTTTGTTTTGTAACTGCTTGCGGGACGTCGATAAACATGTGAGTTTTTATACTTTAGCATTCCGCTTGATTAATAACAGGGGGCCAAAAGCGGAAGGAAAATGTAAAGATTGTCCAATGAGCTTGTGCATAAATGACATGGAACAAAAACTTTTTACTCATATTAATAATAACTTACACATTCATACAAAATGAACGTCATACATGCCCAAGAACATTCATAACATAATCTTCCCAGCCAAAAACTTATACATGTAAACGGTCATACGTAACCAACAAAAGTAACCTAAGGACAAAACAAAAGATTAAAAACAAAGCCCCTTGGGTGAGGCATCCCGGGTTAATTTCACAAAACTTAGTTCTCCCACAAGATCACTAGGGTTGGGGTTGGACATCCCGTTACTCATCTACATATATATAGATAAAGAGTGAGCTAATGCTCAGTGAATAATACCAGAGTAAAGAGGTTATATGAATGAGACTCTTAAATAGATAAATCATACTCATGAGCAGCACATGCAGATCATTATCAGGTAAATCATACTCATGAGCAACACATGTAGATTATTATCAAAACAAAACGACCTCAGGTCCATTTCATTATGCTCAAGGCATATCAAATGGGCAAAACAACCTTGGGTCCAAACATTTATTCATAAACTGACCTCAGGTCTAATGGATCCATACACAAATGACCATCCGGTCCTTCAAAACACATGTACAAAACGACCTCAGGTCTATCATTTCAAAATTCATATTCGTGCGCACGTTTATAGTCATGATCATGTTCACATTCGTATTTATACTCAAAATGATCTTTGGTCCAATCAATTCTGTGGTCATTTTGATAGTCATGATAATGTTTACATTCATATTCATATTCAAAACGACCTTTGGTCCAATCAATTTCGTAGTCATTTTGATAGTCATGATCATGTTCACATTCGTATTCATATTCAAAACGCCCTTTGGCCCAATCAATTCCGTGTTCAAAATGACCTTTGGACCATTTAACAAACATACAAAACGACTTTTGGTCCAATTCATATATAAGATGATCTTCGGTCTATCTTGTCAAACATTCTAAACATCCTTAGGCCCATTCCGTGTCCTTGTTAAATATATCAAATGGCCTTAGGTCCATTTCATATTCTCATCAAGCATACCAAATGGCCTTGGGCCCATTTTGTATTCGTACTCATCAATCACTTTATAGATGCTTTTACGAATTAGATAGATATAATACTCATTCATAATTTAAATTCACAAGTCTAGAAAACTTACACGTAGGTTGTATTCAGAAATTAATATACATGAAAATATCTTTACTAAGATATTACTCACAATGTTCAGTTGGCTAATTCATCCTCAAAGTCGACCCTACACAATTCGTAACACATATAGAAATTGGGTCACAATATAATTCTATCCGTTCTTTAATTTGTTTATTTTTCTTAGGCTTTTTTCTAACTCTTAGTTCATTTAGGATACTCAATGTATGCCTGAGAATGCTCAGAAATGAAATAGAACGGGAGTTGAAACATAACACAACTTTTCAAAATTTCTTGAAACAAGGTACTTCGCTCGAGCGCAACATTAGTTGCTTGAGCGAACCCCTCAGTCTGCAAAAATACTAGATGCTTGAAATCTAGGCTTGAGCCAACTTCCTTGTCGCTCGAGCCAAGACCCAAAATGTAAGATAGTCACTCGAGCAGTACTTTGTTTACTCGAGCCAACCTCTCTAATGTCTGTAAAATTATTGGATAGGTGGCTCGAGCAATTTGTCGAATTTCT